TGTAACAGTCAAGAATTACCTATAATTATCTACCAATTGTCAGCTACATGCTGTAGCAGTAAAAAATCACCTATAATTATCCATCAACTGACTATAAATGGGCTTTTCTAATATGCTTAAAAATAATCTTAAGTAAATGTCACCCTTCAAATATTATATACAAATTATCAATTTGTTTAACAACCTTTTCCTATAGAGAGAAATATAAGATTCAACAAAATTAGAATTAGATCAAATAAATAATACCTACTGAGGATTTAAAGAAAAATTAGGAATATAATTTTCTTGCATATCTTTGTTCACTTTTAATTACAATACTTTTCTAACAAAAAAATACAAAAAGTGCAAATGACATAAAGAGAAAAATAGTTAAATAACGCCATTTTGCAAAAAAACCTAGACAGAACTAAAATCAAGTATATTTCTTGTGGTGGTGACTTGAGTAAAAAAGTTTAAAAATATAGCTTTAGTTTCTATATAGAATACAGTCAGTTCTTCACTTAGAACACTGACCTTATACCACCTACTTCTCCCATCTAAATATAGCTATTAGCTATGCAAATTAAACATAGCTATTAGCTATGCAAATAGCTTGGTGATCATTACTAATATAATTTCCATCCTTAGAAATAATTTAACAGTTGCTACATTTCAAAAACTTTCCTATTGAGTTTCAGGGTTGGTTTTTTTTTTTTTTTTTAATCCAAAAACAGTACTTTGATTACATAAACTACATAAATTACATAAACATATAAAATTACACTAGTATTCACACTAAACATAAAGTCCTTTATATAAGGTTAATATATTCGGTATATTCTTTTATTTTAAAAAAGAAAAAGAAAAGAAAAGCCTGCCAACTTTTTTAAATGAGCTTCCTCTAGGTCTAATTTGGTTTGTTTGGCAACCAGCTCACTGTCACAGGAGTCAGTGAAAAATGCTCCCCAGTTAAGGATTCTCTCCTTGCCCCCTTCCCAGTTAAATAGCTGAGTATATACAAGTTAATACAGAGTTTACGAACCATTATAAAAAACTAAATTTGCTTTAAGTTAATGTTTCTCAAAATACAGTTTCTGCTACTAAATTAGGGGGAAAGTTAAAATTACTCGACTTCAAGTCAGAACACTTGCATTCAACTCTTGATTCTACCATCTACCAGTTATACAACCAAGAAGAGCATCTGGGATTGGTTCATCTGAGAAAACTTGTTCAACAGACCTTCAAAAAGAACCACCTCACCAAGTTTTGAGGAATAAATATTTAAAATACAATGTGGCAAGCACAACAAAACAACCACTCAAGTATGTAGTATACACACAAGCCTCCCAAAACACTCCTTTTTTAAAAAGCTTTATATGCTGGAATTTTAAATTCCCTTAAGTAGCTTAAAATTCATATAAGCTTGGAAACAATGCCAAAATACACCAGTAGGAAATACTGCAAAAAATAATAACAGCAAAAAGATGGGGGGGGGGGGGGGAACCTCACCTCTTCCAAAAATAAAAAATAAATCCAAATTATTAACTTTTGAGACAATAAAAGGCTACATCCAAATGAGGGATAATTTCAGTTTTAACCAAACCCTAGCACTAGCTGGCACATTCAGTTTCAGTTAAGTAAATTCATCATGTGGGTGTTGTTGTTTTTTAACATTCATCATGGTTCTCAGATATTTTCCTCACCAACACAGAGCAGGAATATTAGACAAAGTAATTTATCCCAAAAATGCTGTCAGACCAACAAAAACTGGAGCAAGAATATCTGGCAAATAATGTCACTACCTTATGACTATAACGGTAGAGCCCCTAAATATTCAAGACATCATAAATACCAAAAGGAATAATCCACATTTTGAGCATATAGAGAATCTCTAAGCAGCAGCCTTAGCCTGGATGGGAGCAATGCAGGTCCTGTAAAGAGAACTGGCTTTAATTCAATCCTGCTTCAAAATAAGTTATAACTGCACCTGAACAATATGAATTTATCTACCCTGGCCGGGTAGCTCAGTTCGTTAGAGCACTGTCCGCATATGCCAACAATCTGGGTTCAACCCTCCTGTCAGACAACATACAAGAATCAACCAATGAATGCATAAATAGGTGGAACAACAAATCAATGTCTCAACCAACCTCTCTTCCCCCCTCTCTCCCTTCCTCCCTCCCTCCCTCCCTCTCTCTCTTCCTCGCTCTCTAAAATCAATAAATACATTTTTTAAATGAACTTATCTTGTGACATCAGGCAAGGAATTTTGAAGGTGTGCTGACCCTTTGAAAGCAGCAAGTAGCAAACTTGAATTAAGAGTTTAAAATTCTATTCATGGGTCTTCAAGAGCAAATCACTGTCTTCAAAGTACACTGCAATTAAATTTCCCTCAAAACCTTAACTGCACCATAATAAAGCACCAGACATCAAATCTTACATTCTAGCCCAAGTTCTCATGTTGCTGTGAATAACCTTGGCATTTAATATGCTTCATTCATTTCTTCTGTGAAGTAGAAAGGACAGAGATTGTTTCAATAAAAACTGAGAGAGAAAACTAGATTCTTAAAGTGAAACATGGCCAACCTTAAAATTACACATGTAAAACTGCTCAAGAAGAATGCTTGCCATCTTGAACACCTAGAATTAGCTATTCACTTATTTTAATCAAGTAGAAAAATATATTTAAAACCAGACCAACAAACTGAGCATTTAATAACCCAAAACTTGTCTATTACCCAGGCATTCAAACTCTTAGAATGAATATATTAGTTTAGACTACCAGATAATGCAGTTGGAAAAATAAGCTTAAGCTCTCTTTGCTGATAGGTTTTTATGTTAACATTTACTCCAAAGTCTTTTATTTACTTTAGTTGTCACATTTTTTAAATTATTCTTTTCTTCATAAAAGAATCTAGGTTACTACAGTCACAAATTCTTCAGACAAATCTTTCACTTCCATTTGTTTCCAATTATGATCAAGCTTAAATACCCAAGTATATTAACAATGTCAAAATCCTAGATGTACCTTAGAAAAAGGCTGTTTCAAGCCCATCACCAGAACTGTTTTTGACTATCTATTACACCATTTGCAAATGGAGATAACACCGAAGTGTAAATTATGCTGAATCCTAGGAAAACAACAGATTTAGTCATCAAAAAGCAGGATGTGTGAGAGAGAGAAGTTAGGACTGGAGGGAAAAAAGCCCCAAATCCACTCCCTGGCTATATACTCTTAGGAAAGCCACTTGATCTCTGAGCCTCAGTCTCTATCTGTACAATGGGAATAATCTTACTCCGCTCACTAGGTTGTTTGGAAATGCAAGTGAGAACATACAGAGAAAAGCATCTTATGGCCTAAAATGTGTGATACAAACATATTACATACAGCAGGATTTTTTGTTGTTGCATGAGCATAAACAGCTCCTTGACACGCATATTTAAATTAAACCGTTATTGCTATTCGATATTTAAAAAAAAAAAAAAAACTTGCCTTAGATTGTGTTCTCTTTCCATTTCTCATGCTAAACTTCTCCTTCATTTCTTCTAAAACTATCTTCAGTTTCTTTTCTTCAGGTGTCCCTAAATATTTTTGGTTCACGTGAAGATAGCAATGCCATTTGGCTGATTCAAAGCCCCAGTGGCAAGTCCTTTTGTCAGGTAATCTGTGCGAATGCATCACAAACGTCTGGGGTGCAAACATCCCACAGCACTCCAGACACTGAATGCAGGGAGCATCAGGCTGAACATAAAACTGGGGTGCAAACAGACCCTGACATTTGCCCAAGCATTCATGTTCCACTTCAAAGGCACTGCCAGTTTCCTTTAACTGAGCCAATGAGTTTTTAGCGGGAAGTAGGCTACCATTTTGAGGAAAAGTGCGTGGTCGCAACAAAGCGTTACATAGTCTCTGTGCATCAGTCAATGTGATCAGCCCACAGGACGGGGCATTGAACGGAAGTATTCCCAGGACCTTTAAGATATGAAGTTGGTCTGAAGTACACCTTGAACAATAGATGTACAGTTCGTCACATACTGTATTTATTTGCTGAAGCGAAAATTCTCGGAGAACAGAATTTAGGACTTGGGGCAAGCATAGTCTCTTTTCTCCTCCAACCTGAAAACAAGAAATAGATTCCCCTTCCAACATAGTCTGGGTGAGTTCTGTGGAACTATCCGAAGGGATGAGCAGTGGACCAGGGAGAACCTGAGGAGACGGCAGAGGCAGAAATACAGTAGGTGACATGCTTTCTTGGGAATACCGAGCGGAAAACGCTGCTGGTCCACCCAGAGAACTCTGACTGCTTAAATGGAATTGTGCCAAAGTGTGTTTCAAACTGGGATTTAAGTGTAAAGGTTCAGACACCGAAGTACAGGTTCGTTTGACATGCTCTCCGTCAGTCTCCATTGGTGCTTCATAGTCATCCAAGTGTTCCTTCTTAACTGTTGGCATCCTGTTTATCATCATTTTTTTCACTGGAGGGCTGCCATCATCATCTCCTATCCCATTCATTTTTTTATTTGAGCCCCGAACCAAGGAGAAATTCATCTGTAGGTTTTCCATTGCTAAAAACTATTGTATTAAATAAGTAAGTCTGACACTTGCATTATTTAGCTGCTTATATGGAGAAAATGTATACCAATACGTGTGGTAACTTACATATGGTAATTTATAAAAAATTTCTATGGTAACTCATAGAAAATTTGTTTCCAAAGAGAGATCTCCTAAGTCACTCAATAGATTTTGCAACTGTTTTGATTCTGCCTATACTCTAGCATAATTTCACTGCAAGTGCTATAAAATTTGTCTCCAATAATAAAGAATTTTAAGAGGCACTCCTCTGAAAAAGCCTTTGCTTTTTTTTTAAGTCTTCAGATATATGTATTAAAATAAAGTTGCCAATTCTCTCAGTTCAAGATTTCCAGGTTCAATGCAATGGTTTGGTTGGTTTTAAGCAAAACAAGTCAAAATTCTATTAAATTACTTGTGTTATAAAATCTAGACACAAGCACAAGTCAAAATGATGCACCCAAATTTAATTTTTGGCACCAAGACACCAAAAAAGGAAAAACAGAAAAATGTCTTCTCAAAAAATGATGATGTCAGTCTATGTTGACAAACTTAAGACTTGTATAAGTCCTCACACCAGTAAGAAGAGCCTCTGGCTCCACTTGAACATCTACAATTAAAGATGATTTAAAGAAAAATTGCCCAGTTATCTTCAAGGACTGCTATTCATTCTTCTTTTAATTAATCTGGAAGAGAAGGGGGATGGGAGAGAGTTACATTTGAATCTGCTCCAGAGGCCAAAGGGTCAGTCTGAAACCAGTTTCTTAATCTTAAACTGAGTTCACTTTACCAAAGGTGACACCTGAGTGACTTCTATCATTGTAACACCATTATTAGAACCACCTTCCTTTAAATAGGAAAGCAATCTGGAGAACAAGCAAAGGGTAATATCATCCCTCAAAAGGGCAAGGGCTAATCTAACTCCAAACAGAAAGAACCTTCAACAGATCATCTCACCCACAACTCAGTACCAGAGGCTTCACAATTATGCCATTTTCACTAAAGGAACCCATTCCTTCATCTCATTATTTAAAAAAAAGAAAGGAAAAGAAACATACAAGGTAACATATCTGCCACATGTAACGAAGTTACAATCTTACATACACTATTTCATTTAGCCAGTGTATGCTATTCTTCTGGAATGGTGGTAGGCAAAAAATTAACTTTCCTTTAATAGGTGAGTGAATTTGCTGAATGGGAGCCAAAAAAAAAAAAAAAAAAAAAAAAAAAAAAGCTATGGCCTCCACGCCTGGGAACCTCCATCCTTGAACAAGTCTACTTCCAGGACAAAAAGCGCCAAGGCAGAGACAGACCTCACAAAGAATGCAAATGGAGGAAAAGGGGGGAAAGAAAAAAAAAAAAAAAAAGATTCTTCTTCCACTTCTTTCCTGCGAGGAAGGAAAAAAAAAAAAAAAAAAAGCTATCCAATAGAATAGAAAAGTCTGTCTCCCAAACTCCCAGCGATATACCCTAAAAAAAAACGGAACCAAAGGGTTAAACCACCAAGGCCACCAGCCAACGCGCTGACTGGCGCCCCCCACAGGAGCACCTCCGCCAACGCAAACCGAGGAAGGAGGGCGGGGGCAGGAGGCAAGACCTCGGCTGGGGGAGTCCCCGACGCCCCGAAACCCTCCGCCCCCGCAGGGCCACCCACCCATCTCCAACCCGGGGCGGCGGCGGCGGCGGAGGACGAGGCCCCCAGCGCGCCTCGGAGAGGGAAGGGGGCGAGGGGAAGCGCAGGAACAGGGGCCCCTTTTCGAACCCCGACCCCGCGCTCCCGGGACAACCCCGAGTGCCCTTCCAGCCCGGCCCCGCTGCGGAGGCCGCGCGGAGGCCGGCGGAAATCCCCCGCGCACCCCCCCCCCCCGCTCGGGAAGTTCTCGAGTGTCACCCCGGCACCCCGAAGGCTGCACCCACGCCCCCGCCCCGGGCCGGAGGGAGAGGGGTGGGCGAGCGGGTGGGGCGCCGAGCCCGGAGCCTCCCGGGGAGCCTCCCGCCGCCGCCGGTGCCAGCCGGCCGGGTTGAGCCCGGGGCATCCCCACGGAGCGCAGACGGGCAGCGGGCGGCGGGCGGAGGGGTGGGGGGGCGGGGACCGGAGTCCGAGGCTCCGGGATTCCGACGGCGGCTCGAGTCAAGTGCAGCGCCCCGGCTCTGCCCACGCCCCCGCCCGGGCTCCGCGAGACGCGGTCCGCCGGAGGGCACCCGCCCCGCGCCCCCCGTCCCCGCCCCGCTTTGGCCCCGACCCCACCCGGCACCGCGCATCCGGACCCCCGACTCCGGCCTCCTCCATGCCCCGGGGAAGCTCGACGAGCTTCGTGAACTCCCCGCTCCCTCCACACCACCGTCCCCCGCCGTCGCCGTGGGCCCCCCGGGGGTCGCGTGCCCCTGCCTCCCGCCGCGTCCACCCCGGCCAGCCCGGCCGCACCTGTGCCCGCCGCCGCCACAGCCGCCGCCGCCGCCGCTCGTCTGCTCCCTTCAGCTGTGCCGGCGCCGCCGCTCCGAACCCCACACACATCGCTACACACAGCCCTCTGACGTCACCGAGCCCTCGGCCCGCCCACGTCACTGCGGAGACACACGGCTTCCCGCAGACGCCGCCGCCGCCGCCGTCTCCGGCCGCCCGGGGGAGAGCGAGGGCGGCGCGGGGGGAGGGGAGGCTGGGGCCCCAGCCAGCGGCGGCGCCGCACGCGCACGCGCACGCGCACGCGCACGCGCGAGCCCGCCGCGCGGCTCCCAGGCCCTCGGGGACGCGCGCGCCGTCCGGCCTACGGGGGCTCCTCAGGGCTTCCCGCCCCGTCCTGCGCGCACGCGCACGCGCACCCCCTCCGCTCCCCTCACCCCCCCCCCCACGCCCCGGCGCGCCCCCGCGCTCCTGGCCCCGCGCGCCGTCTGGGCGGCTGGCGCGCGACGCCGTCTGCGGTGCACCCGGCGCAGACAGGATGTTCCCTCCCCGCCCCACCCCCGCCGCCGCCGCCGCCCGCCCTCCTTCCTTCCTCGAGTCGCCCAGCCGACTGTCTGGGGCCGCCAGCGCCCCGCCCCCGCGCCCTCCCCCCCCCCCCCGCTGCGCTCTGGTGACAGGCCAGACCCGGGGGCGCCGGGGCCGCTCGGCCGCCGCCGCGCGCAGGGGGCGGGGGAGGGGGCAGGGCGGCCCGCGGTGCACTGTGCGCGACCCCAGCAGCCGGCGGGGCGGAGGCCGGCCTCTGGGGGCTGAGCGCCGCTGCCCGGGGTCAGGCGCGGGCGACTCTCCCTCCCCCACCCGCCCCCGCCCCCGCCCCCGCCCCCGCCGGCCGCAGCTGGGCCGCCCCGCCCCGGAGGCAGCGGGGTGGCGGCGGCCCCCTGTGTGGGCCCGGCTCCCCGGGGCGCGCCGGGCTGCTCCCCCGCCCCCGCGGGGCCTCCCGCCTCCCGCCGCCCCGCCAGCTGCCGGCGCTGCGCCCCTCCCCGCGGCCCCCGCCTGGCCCGGCGGCCTCCGCCCAGACGCCTTCCCGGGGCTGACCTCCCTGCGCCTCGGGGCGGGCCTGGCCCGGGTGCTGGCTCCGGCGAAACCCGGGGAGGGAGCGGGGGGACGGGGGGGGGGGGGGGCTGGGGGGAGAGCAAGGAACAGTTTTGCCCCTACTTTTCAGCCTCCCTCCCCACCCACCCGCCTGTGCTCTCGGTTGCAGAACGGAGGTAGAAATTACATGTTTCCATCGTGTGTCCCGAAGGGGTTTTGTGTGTTGTTTTGGAGGGAAACTCGAGAGGAGACGTGGAGAGAGAGGACAGAGAGAGAGACGCGACCCAAGAGCTGGCTGCTGTGACCCTCAGGGCGGCCTGGCCCCGGCTCCAGGGTCAGCGACGGGCACACAGAACTCTACCGCCGAGCCGGGGCCCCGCCAGGTTTCGAAACCCCGACAAGAAATCCCCTTCCCTGCACCCCACCGCAAGATCAGGAACAGAAACAGGCCACCGAGGCGCGGTGCACAACTCCGAGGGCTCGAGCTCTAACCCTTGTTTCTTTTTTAACAATTTTCCCCGTTTTTGAACAGTTTTCTCCTGGTGTTCCTGCTTCTCTGTGGCTCGTGTGGGGTCCGCCTTTGGAGCCAGCCGCAGATGCCACCTGCCCCCCTCTTCTTCCCAAAGGCTCACGAGCCTCTCGTTCTCCCCCTTCCCCTCCACTCCCACTCCTACGCCCAAGTTCCTGTCCTTAACGCCCCCGTCCATCGCGGTGCTCTCAGGTCGCGCCCCCTCTCCCACCCGCCACCTCCCCCTCCTCCTCGACTGCCTCCTTTCCTGAGCATGAATAATTCCGCAGCACTTCCCATCTGTTATTGCCATAGAGACAGAAGCTCGGCAAAGATAATGATGTTCTGTGCCGAGCCGGTGGGGAGGGGTGGCAGAGCAGCATCTGTGAGTCTGGGGGATAAGGGTTTTCTAACCTCGAGAATATTCAGAAGGCTCCTCTGAAAATCTGATAGGGGAGACTGGACAGTCCTGAGACTTGGCATCCGGTCAGCTCCCGGCATCTGGCTTGTGTCTAGCAAGAAGAAGCAATTTTTAGAAACCAGGATGACATTTGGAGGGAAAAAAAAAAAAAGCCTGTTTCATACTCTTATCAGCCATAAAAAAATAATTACTTGCTAACATGTCCAAAGGCCTAAGGACCAAAATAAATTGGACATAAATAGACTTTAAAGAATTCAAACGCATTATCTCCTCCCTGCTCTTTTTCTTTGCTTTCCCCAGGAGGAATCTGTTTTTTGAGGGAAGGATCCTTTGTGCCGGTGGTTTAAGAAATAATGGCAGGCAAATATGGCAAGAACTAATCAAGCATTGAGGGCTTTTTTTTTTTTATTATTCATCAATGTTCATGATGTAATAAGTTAAAATTTCATTTTGCCCTTGAATTCCCAAAGTGTCCTCAAAGGTACAAGTTTGAACTCAAGTAAAGCATGCTTCATTTGATATAGATCTGATGCAAATAGGGACTCTCACACTAACCCACATTTGCAGGTCTACTTAAGCATTTTCAGAAGATATCAGTAAAATTGATTGTATAGTATTGACTTTTAAAAACACCGAAACAAATGATAATGGTTCTTTATCTCAGAAACAGAACTGAACCGATACAGAGAATATAGGCCTTAGGAAAGAAATAAGCACTATGATGTAATGAATACTGTGATTTCTACACACCGATGATCTTCATTGGTGGTTGAAAAGTCAACCTGAGGATTGGTTAGTAAGCTCAGATGGGTTTCCCATGGACTCTTACCTTCGTGACTGCCTGAAGATACTGAGCAAGGCCACGGGAGGTGGGGGGGGGGGGGGGGGGGGGCGGTGTGCATGTAGGAATCCAAATGCGTGAGGGAGTGAGGAGATCCTACCCATTGTCTCATCTTCCATCAAGCATCAGAGTAGAAAGATCCAAATTAACCAGTACTAAAGTGTCTTCTTCGATAGTTATGGCCTTCTGGTAACAACAGAAGCCAAGAATTTGGAGGTTATAAATTCCAAGACCAATTCTGCCCTGTAACCTGAAAATGGTTTGGGGCAAGTGCTTTCCTCTTGTCCCTATTCACTGATTTATTGAAAATGACCTATTTTTTTTTAAATTTATTGGGATATCATTGGTTAATAAAAAACCATATAGATTTCAGATGTACAATTCTATAACACATCATCTGTATTTTGTATTATGTGTTCACCACCCCAAGTCTCCTTACATCACCATTTATCCTGCCCGCCCCCCATATTCATTCCTCTTCCCCCAACCTCCTTTCCAAACCCTGGTAATCACCATATTGTCCTCTGTGTCTATGAGGTTTTGTGTGTGTGTGTGTGTGTGTGTGTGTGTGTGTGTGTGTGGTATTTAGGGTTGTTTTGTTTAATCCCTTTACCTTTTTTATCCAGTCCCACAACACCCCTCTCCTTTGATAGTTATCAGTCTGTTTTCTATCTCTGACTATGTTTCTATATTGTTTGTTAGTTTATTGTGTTCATTAGATTCCACATATGAGTGAAATCATACGGTATTTGTCTTTCTCTGACTGGCTTATTTCACTTATAACCTACTAATATTAAATTATGAAGACTATGCCATGGCTGGTTTGGCTCAGTGGATAGAGCGTTGGCCTGTGGACTGAAAGGTCCAGGGTTCCATTCCGGTCGGGGGCATGTACCTTGGTTTTGGGCACTTCCCCAGTGGGGGGCGTGCAGGAGGCAGCTGATCAATGTTCCTCTCTCATGATGTTTCTAACTATCCCTCTTCCTTCCTCTCTGTAAAAAAAAAAACAAAAAAAAACAATAAATACATATTTTTTAAAAATATGAAGACTCTGATAACAAAAAGGATAGGATAAAGTGCAAACATTCAATGTAAAGCATTTTTATGTTTGTGAAGGAAGGGGAAGAAAAGTCAAATGTTAATGGAGCGTACAAACACTGGCTTGTGTTTTGTTTACACCTTCTGCTTTTTTCCAAGGAAGAGAAATCATTGTAGCTTGATGTACTTCCTTTCTCCCCTTCCTTGATTCTGAACAAAAAAAAAAAAAAAAAAATTTTTTTTTTTTACTTTTTTTAGCAGCGAGTCAGAAACAAAGTCCTTCAATTTCACAGAAGAATCTCAACTATTCCCCTTTTCATCTCATGTTTTTCTGTTTTCATTTATTTCTACTTATCAGAATGATGATGATGCTCCTTAACTTTCTCACCACACTTGAGTCTTTTTCCAACCTGTCCTCCTCTCTGTGCACTTTACTCCCTATGCTGGCTTAATACTATGATTCTTGCCAGTGCCAAGTTCCTCCCCCTCATTGGCCAGGCTTTCTCCTCAGAGCTACTTTCTCCTCTGCCAAGTCAATACTGGGTTCACAAGATCCCAATTCCATTTTCATGCTTTCAATAAAATGAGAATGAGATGCTTAAAAACTATTAACTTCCTCTTCCTGAATAGTGTCACACAAATTTTTTTCAGGTTTTAATTTGGGCTCTGTGAAATTGAAAAGTAAGTAAGAGGAAGAAACCAAAATGGAATAGCCAGTTAAGGGTAAAATAGAGAAAGCCCATGTCAGAAATCTTTGAATTTTCAATGTTTAAATTGCCATAAAGTGTAAAATCAATGAACCAACACATTAAGTATATTTAATTGTCAATTCTAGGAATTTCATTAGTGTTTAGAAAGTTTAGCAAAGTTTGACTTATTGCAAACCAAAGACCTTTCCTCTGTGGGTCCACCCCTCCCTACAAAATATGGGAGGAGTCATAATTAGCTCTGATGTTACCAAGTTATAATTCAAAGCCTGCAAGTTGAGAGGTGTTGCTTAATATGTAGTGCTAGACTATAAGTAGCTCAGAGTTGTTCACACTTTCCTGTGAGATATTAACAAGAAATTCCCTTTTAACAAAGAGAAGTCCAGGCAGAGTTTAGGTCATGTGCCAAACCACTTCTCTGTTCAGTGGCAGAACCAAATGCATTTGACCCACATCAGTGGAGTTTCTGTTCTTTATTTCCTCATTCCTCTTAGTGTTCATTCAAATAAGATATAAGGAATGATTCAGATTTGCCAAAACAGAGCAAATATTGAAATTTATAGGGTTGGTAGCACAATACTTAACATTCACTATGTGCAATGCTCTTTAATATTTTATTCTGCTGTATTCTGTCTCTTTGTATTTCAATTCACAAGTAGTGCAGTGCAACCTATACCTTGAGAAACAATGCATAAAAGAATAAGAATGTTAACATTTATGTAGTATTTACTATTGCTAGGCTCTATTCTGAGCACTCCACATATAATAACTCATTTAGTCTTCACAACAATCCTATGAGGTAGTGGGTATTATGACCCCATTTTAAAGAGGAAGGAACTAGCATGGAGTTGTGCTTAAGATCACATAGTTAGATAAAACCATCCACTTGGATTTTGAAAAAGGTTATACATGATTTTCAAATCTGAGTCTTATGTAGGTTCAATCTGGATGTAAAAAAAGTTCTTGTTTTAATAGACACCAATAGATTAAAAAAAAAAATTCTAAGAACAAAGCAGAAGGTATCACACTTCCTGGTTATAAGCTATATTATAAAACTATAGTAATCAGAACAGTATGGTACTGGCATAAAAACAGACACATAGTCTAATGGAACAGAATGGAGAACTCAGAAATAAATATATAAGCATAAGTCAACTAATATTTGACAAAGGAGCCAAGAATAATGAAGAAAAGACAGTCTCTTCAATAAATGATGTTGGAATAATTGTATATTCACATGTAAAAGAATGGAATTGGACCCATATTTTACACCATGCACACAAAAAAGCTCAAAAATGCATTAAATACTTAAATGTAAAATCTGACACCATGAAACTCCTAGAAGAAAACAGGAACAAAGCTCTTTGACATTAGTTTCGGTAATATTTTTTTTTTGGTATGATGCCTCAAGCATGACCCTCAAAATAAAAAATAAATACAAGTGGGCCTACATCAAAAGAAAGCACCAACAAAGTAAAATAACCTACAGAATCAATAAAATATTTGCAAGTCATATATTTAAAAGGGGTAATCTCCAAAACATATGAAGAACTTATACAATTCAATAACTATAAATAATCCAATTGAAAATGGGCAAAGGATCTGAATAGACATTTCTCCAAAGAAAATATACAAAAGGCCAACAGGCACATAAAAGAATGCTCAATATCACTATCATTAGGGAAATGCAAATTAAAATTACAATGAGTTATCATCTCATGCCTATTTAGAATTGATATCAATAAGATAAAAGATATATGAATGTAGAGAAAAGGGACCCCCTTATGCTACAATATGTTGGTAGGAAAGTAAATTGGTGCAGCTACTATGAAAAACAGCATGGAGGCTCCTTTATAAAAAAAATCCATTAATATCCAAATTAAACCAATAATTTATTACTTAGAAGGGAATAAGCATTTTTTATTATTATTATTATTATTATTATTATTATTATTATTATATAAACCTTACAATATTGTTTCAAGTTAGCCAATATTATCTCCAAGTATTAAATGAGAAAACTGATATTCTGATTTAATTTGAAATCTTTGCTATACTTTGCTGTCTATACCAGATTAATTGGTCATCTAGTAGAACCCCATTGTAAACATTTACAAGCTAAGAAACTGATTAGAAATAGAGAATGTAGAAATAGAATACATTCATTTATGACTCAGGGAAAGCTCAGGGAAAGGACCAAAGTGGG